GTACATACCATGCTGAACATAGAAAACACAAGACTTATTTCACATTGGTCTTGTAGAGGTATGAAGAGATGCAGAATAGGAGACAGTTGAGGGGAATCTGAGTTTCCATTGAGGAGCATGTTAAATCTTATAACCCATGATTTTTACTAAGAGAACACTCGCTTGGACACTAACAATTCTGTTAATCATCTAGCCCCAATTTTTTTCAGTTGACATTGAATGGACATTTCTGCAAATGCATACTACACAATCTGTTAACACTACAAAGAAGTGATTTTACCTTAACTGCATTAGTTTCAAGAAGATTTTTTTAGCCTTAATAAAATAACGCAAGCCCACAAACTGCTTAAAGATAACAGCCCAGCACAGTCATAAGAACAACCAAAAAGCAGTGGATGCTTTTGTTGAAACCTAGTTATTAAAAAAAGAAAAGAAAAGAAATATACATACAAGGCAAATGTCTAAACTTAGCTTTGGCTAAAGGAAACTGAAAACAATATTAGTATATATTCATTACGCTTAGCTGCTGATTTCACATTCAAGCATGTTACCTATAAAGAAATTTACAACTGCATTATGTATTTGTTACACTGTTGATTTAATTAACTTCCACCTTTTACTATTTAAGCTTTAACAGTAAACTGTTCCCTCTTCAAAAAACTATCCATGTTGTAAAACAAAGAAAGCATTGAACAGTAATTTGCACACTCCAAAAGTTGACTTCTAGCTTAGTTTTAAATTATTGTCTTTAAACTACACTCTCAGTTGTTTACATTGCATGCTAGCTTATTTTAATTTCAGTCAAAGATGCTTAGAAAGATAATTCAGGTAAGTCTTGTAGTGACAGAGAGGGAAAATACAACATCTATACATATCCCTCTGACTGAGGAGAGGTAAAAACCTCTGGCTACAAACACAAGGGTGTGAGATTTCTTGATCAAGGTTTGGTGTGAGTATGGTTTGCAAAGAAGGAAACGGATCCTTTTGCATTTTCAAACTGATTTAATAATTTCACATCCATTAATTTTTCTTTATGTGGCATAGTGTATGCAACCCCAGGACTCCAGATGGTTTGGAATTAAAATACCTTTATTAGACTTTAAATAGAGTGCATATCAATAGCATTAAACCAGGCTCTAATGAAATGCAGGCTTAGAGCAAATTTAAAATTAGACTGTTAATTCAAAGGTAACAGGAGCTGGCTCTTGCCCTTGTGTGTCTAGCAATTCTGAACACCTTGCAGAAAGGATTAATTATCCAGTCATCTGCATCTCAGCCATAAACTCTGGAAAAATTAAAAGGCAGGAGATACAGATCATGAACTGATACGGTTCAACGCTACAAAGGACAATAGTAAGGACAGGGACAGCCTTCTGTAAACATCTAAGCAACTGTCTTTCATTGATCAGATTTTTTTATCCAATGGCCTGATTCTACTCCCAGTGAAATCCATGGGAATTCTGCCACCCACTGCGGTGGGAGCACAAGGGTCTAAGGGCCTGACCCTGCAAGATGCTGAGCACCCTCCATTCCAACTGAAGTCACAGGGACTTGAAAGTGCTCCTCACTGCATGGGTTTGCACCCTAGAAGTGTGCACTTCAGAACAGCAGCCAGCCGAGGCCTAATCCTGCATCTCTTACACATCCGAGTAATAACAATACTTGGATCTCAAGGAGTTTTGCAAATGAAAGAAACTATCATTGTTCTCAAAATGATTCACAGAGGTGAGGTGAAGTGACCTGCCTCAGGTCACCCAGCAGGTCATTGGCAGAGGCGAGAACACAGCCCAGGTTTCCTCGACTTCCAGTCATCTTCACGGTTCACGCTCTGTCACTGACGTGAGTAAGGGCTGCAGGATTGGGCCTCGGGACGTTAATACGTTACTCGTGTCACTTGATCCTTTAAAAGGAAGTTGCACTAATTTTTACATTGATAAACTGTATTGTACTCTGCGTTTGGATTTAAGTGCATTTCTTTTGTTGCGATGCAAACTCTGACACTGCTTTACACAGCGTAACGCACACTCTACTTCCACATGGAGTTTCAATGACCATTCAAATAAGTAATTTGTTGCTGTTACATTTCAAGATCACATATGCATTGAACATTGTTACAGTATTTTACATTTTAGTTAAATTCTTGTTTTCATTTCAGATAAGCACTTTTAAAAACCAAGCTTCATCCAGCAACTGTACAATCAACTAATCAAAAACTGTTCAACCCTTGACATGATTTAACTACATTAAATGCCAGGCTGTTACACAAATACTCATTTTAAAATCATACAGGCAAAGTAATGAACTGATGTGGATATTTGCTAATTAGCAATTTTAAAATCAACGTAGGCAGTTCTACAAATTAATCACAAACACAGTTCTTGGAATTAAGTTTCATTCCCGCAAGTTATACCCAATAATTTTGTTCCATGGATGCACTAGGAAGGAGAAACTGTTATTCTACTGACACGTGGAGGACTCTGTGCATAAAAACAGTATCTGGAGCCCACAGTCCTGTGTGCGAACAGAGACTGCAATACAATCATGGAGAGGGGAACCTAGGAAGCATTAAAGTGGTATTGAAAAATAATCTTGTACATACCCTGTAGCAGTAGCAACCTAGGGGAAAACCCCGTGCCATCCCTCTCAGTGCAGAATTCTGAAAGCTCCCATGGCAAGAAGCACTGTGAAGCGCCTGTCAAAGCAGAGATTAAAGCGGCCATTTCTAAACCTCCTGCGGGTGCTGACCATTTCACTGGAGGGGGAATGGCATGAATTTGTGACAATATCAGTTGAGGAGGCCTGGAGAAGATTAGAACCTACTTAGTATCACTGAATGGAACGGAGCCTAGTCAGGGGTCTAGATTCCTGTTGCTCGGGGTTAGCTGTCAATGAGACACATGGTTCATAGGTGGCACTGCTCAGAGCAGGCACCAAGGGGCCGGTTCTGCCCCCCAGTTTAGCATGTACACACAAATACTATTGTTGTAGCGAGAACTGCCCAGGTGTCTCCCAAGGAGGGCTCAGGCGCTAATGAGGTTAATATTAGACACATGTGAATCAAATGTTTATTTTTCCCTTTAGTGATTTACAATTTTTAAGAGGACTATACAAATATTAGGCCCTGATCTTGCAAGGAGGGTTTGGCCAAGAGGATCTTGGCTCTGACCCCAGTCGGGTCTCCTGCAGGAATCCACACACACATGGAGCTCACGGCAGGATCAAGGCTGCGGGCAGGAAATCTACATTCTGCAGCCAAACGAATCACCAAAACAGAATCCTGACACTAAAATAAAAATTAACTAGAAAGCTGCAACTGTGACGCTGACAGTGCAGAATGGGGCAGAGAGCAGGGATAATCCATTTGCATATATGAGAAAGGCAGGCAGTGGCACAGCGGTTGTCAAATACTACGTTCTATTACTTCTTAAAAACATTCTCCAGTTGAATTTGAGGTGGTTTTCCCAGCTGTTAGGTTTACTAAATAAATAAATATATAAACTCCAACCCTTATGATGAGACACACACACACACAGAATCTGTGATTGTTCCACCTCATTGTCCATCAGTCTGGAGGGCTTGCATGGAAATACTAAAATAGCAGCCCCTTTTCTCCCATTGAGAGCCTGTTCATAGATAGGAACAGTAACAGGTGTCTAAACACTGTTAAAATTCCTTTTTAATATAGTCTCTTATTTAGTACAGAAATTAACTCTCTACAGTGTTAGAATTAACCCTCTAGAAAGATCCTCTAAAAGTTCTTTCAACTGCAGACTTAGATTTAGAGTTTCTCAGGGCAGGGACCGTGTCTTTAATCTCTTTGTATAGCCCCTTACACACTTACTGCTGTATACCTGTAACTGGAGGTTCTTCGAGATTTCTATTCGACTGCGGGTTACGCAAACGCACCGTGTGTCCGGAGCTGGAGAATTTGAAAGTAATGTCTGTTGGTCAGCGCACACGCCCTGGCTCACCTCATGCCTCTGACCGAGCGAATAAAGGGCAGGACAGACCAATCGCCTCTCCAGTTCCTTCCTCACCACAGATCAGGGAAGATCTGAAACAGAGGGGAAGGAGGGCGGGAAGTGGAATACAGATAGGGACCACACATCTCAAAGAACCTCCAGTTACAGGTAACTAACCTCCTCCTCTTCTTCAAGTGAAGGTCCCTCTTGTATTCCGCTGAAGGTGATTAACAAGCAGTGTCTCAGCAGAAGGAGGGTGCGAGGAGGCAGACACTAGGGCTGAGCGAAGGACAGACATTCCAAAGGAGGCATCAGCAGAGGAGCCCTGGACTAGGGCATAATGTCCCGTAAAGGTGTGAATGGAGCTCCACATGGCTGCTATACCCCTATCAAGGTGGCGCATTTCCTGGAGCGCTGCCATAGTCACTGCTTGTGCTCTTGTGGAATAAGCTTACCCCGTGGGGTGGGAAGGGAAGGTTGGATAGTTGATAGCAGAATAGGATGTAGTCAGAGATCCATTTGGAAACCCCCTGGTGCAGAACACTTGTCCCCCGATTCTTTCCATTAGAGCGACAAATAGTCCTGGGGATTTCCTGACTGGTTTTGTTCTGTGTAGGTAAAAGGTCAAGGCTCACTGCACATCAAGGGCATGGAGTCTCTGTTCCTCTGAGGAAGCGTGCAGTTTAGGGAAAAAAAACAGAGATAAGCAGATCGACTAGTTCAAGTGAAACTCTGCAAGAACCTTGGGAGAAATCTGTACAAAAATGCTAAAACTATTTACAACACTAAATCCTATTTTAAGGGCCAAAGCTGAAGCTACAGACAGAGAGATTCTGATCCGGACGATGAGGTGACAAGAAGGAACTGGAGAGGCGGTTGGTCTGCCCTGCCATTTATCCCCTCGGTTGGAGGCAGGTGGTCAGCCAGGGCACATCTGCAGACCAATGGACACTACTTTCAAATTCTCCAGCTCTGGACGCATGGTGCACATTCATAACCCACAGTGGAATACAATAGGGACCATCACTCGAAGAAATCTTCAAGCAGAATGAAGGAGGACTGGTATTGTCACAAGATGTCTGTCCAGCAATATGGCTTCCAGCAGCAGTAGGTTCAGAGCAAGCTGCATTTTAATACGCAATGCAAAGCTGGGAGTTTTTGTGGTGAGAAGTGTCACATCACATGTGCTCTGGGGTTCTTGCAATGGATGAGAAAAATGGATGTAACCATCTTTTATGATGCCATTTAAATATATAAAATCTGAGACTCTGGGTGGATAAAAACAAAAACAAGTCTTTGATCTTGCTGTCTCTATGCAGACTGGGAGACTTGTCTGGGTAGGGACTGCAGGAGTGGGCCCTCTGATGGGAAGGGATAAGCATTAGTAGTCTGTAGCTTGAAGTCCACAGAGATTCTACAGGAAATAGAGGAGATTATCTGGCTCCAAGGCTGGGTCCAGATTAACATGCTTGGGGAAAGTTTCCCCAAAAGTGCAGGTCCAACAACTAAGACTGCACTGGCGGATCCGGCGTTTTTAACCTCTGAGTTGTCTAACCGTACTCAAAGGAGATCTAGCAAACAGCAATAAAGATACCTGAGCCTTGTCTACACTAGCACTCTCACTCCTGCTACCAGAGGTGGAGCTACTGTAGCAGCTGGAGAGTTCCCAGTGAATGCCAGCACAGACAGGGCTTAGATTAGTAGGAGTTCTACCAATCACTCTGGTGTCATGGTTTGGCAAAACGATAGCAAGACATTCAGCAAGAACTACTTCCTTTTGGAGATAAAGCTAGCGAACAGGACAGACAACAATGGCTCCTGGTGTTCCCACCAAACTAAATATTCCAAAATGCCTTTCTGACAAAGCAGGGGTGACTTCACACAGGCATTAAGAGAAATAAATTTGCACAACAATAAATCTCTGAGAGGCAGCATCTTGATTCCTGTCATTACAACTTCAGGGCCCTGCCCACATGTTTAGAAGTACAGAGTTCCCATAACACCTTCCAAGTTGCATATTTTAAAAGCGTATCTCGCTTATGCAAATCAAAGGTGTTACAGTCAGAGATACAATAATAATGTTACATTTTAACCTTTTTTTTTATTATTAAAGGAAGTTGGTGACTTAACTGTGTTTCTGTCTCTGTGGGAGATTAGGGTATTTGAACCAGTTTTGGCTTATCACATAGATATGAATGAGGCATATTACAAAGGCACAGGTATCAAATAAAACCAAGAACATTCTTTTAATTAGACACCTCAATAAAAAAAATTAAATTAATGATTTTCCCCTTCATTAAGAGACTAGTTATTTTCATTGTCTGGAAAGGTTTTAGTGCAGTGATTCTACAGCAACAGAAAAAAAATAAACTAAAAAAGGCACAAACTTTTTTTTCCTTTCACTTTTGCTAACACTTTATAATGGTCTATTTTTACTCAGGTTAATAAATCACTGAAAGCAGCAAGAAAATATTATGCCAATTTCTGTACACTATACAAAAACCCCTACCCTCCACTTCAGGAGAAATGTACAGCATAGAAAGACTTTTAAAAAATAGATAGTAGCCCGCAAAGAAATTGTGTTAATTAAGCTCTTGGTCTCTTGAAATAGTGCCCTCCATTATCTACTTTTTCCCTTTATTACTGGGACAATATACCATAGGGCACTGCCATTTTATGTATGGTATAGATTGAGGCAGGCAGAAATCCAGGGCTGAGAGTGTGAATTGCTTAACAGAGTAATAGGACAAAAATCTTCTGACTTGGATGTGCCTACACCTACTCCCTGGTACCTCTCACCCTGCTCACTCCTGGATCTGGTATTGTGTATGGAAGCTGGAAGCTGTTCTCCCTCCCTGCCAGCTAGAAGCAAGAGCAGACAATGAAAGAAAGTGCTGGGCTCAGGAGACTAACCTCACGCCCTCATTAGGCTCCAATTTCTCTACTGTGAAAGCTGCCTTTCTCCTTAACACTTGCTAAGCATGTGCAGGCTTCCTCCCTATTGAAAGAAACACCCATGGAGATGCTCCCGCCCTTGGTAAGCAGGAATTGCACAGACACTCCTGAGTTTGGCTCTCCTGTCTAACAGGCCAGTACCATGGGCTACCAGCTAGTTAGGAACTAATGAACTCTGGACCCAATTCCTACCTTTACATTGATGAATCTCAGTGCAGGAAAGACCCTGGACTGGAAGTGAAAGGCTAGCGTTTTAGTTTCCACTTCACAATAGAATTCACATGTGTGTTCTCTGTCCCACTTCTTACTAGTTAAGCCTTCTCTGTCTGGTCTTCCTTTCATTCTTTCCAGTAACCTTCTTACTTGTCTCCACTATTTGATTTGACAAGGATAAATTTGTTCCCTCCTCTCTGAAACTCTCCTACCTAGTTGCTTCTACTATAGTTATAAGTGTTAGGAACATATGTTCAGTCCCTTATCAATTGTCTTATGGTTTTCTTTCCCCCACCTCACACACATAATACTTCATAGAATAGTAACTTTTTTTCCCAGGAACTTAAGTTAAAGGGGGTTTCCCTTTAAATGTAATAAGATAGCTGAATCCCACCACCCACACCAAATTAAGTGCAACCAGAAATGTTTTTAATATTTCTGATACCACATTTTAAAAATTAAAACCTACTGATTTTTCCCCGACATAATTCATGCAAAGTTGTTATTTGTTTAAATAAGTTATAAAATTGGTATAGCTAGAAGAAGCTGTAGTCTTGGTTATTCTTTTGTTGGCAGGCACTGTACATACATATTAGGTACAGACACATGCCGAATCTGCTTTGCATTGCTTTTTGCATTGTACAATTCACAAATCTGACATTAAAGCAGTTATTACCTTTTATGGAAGGCTGCAGTGAGGCCATCTACAATTATTAAACAGCAGCTGGTTAAGATAATATGTATGCTTCCCCCCCCACACTCCCAAAATGCAATTATCTGTCACACATTGCTTGTCTGAAGTGTTTAGATTTGTTGCTCACATTAATGTGCAAATGTGTTGCCATAGAAACTGCAGCCTCCATTATGCTTCAATGACACCATTCAGCAAAAGCCAAAACAAATATAAAATTGAAAAAAAAAAAAAAAAAAAACCCCAAACAAACAAACCCAGAAGGCAGCAAAGAGAAACTCCAATGCACATGCGGAAGTCTGGCCCAGGACTGCAGGATATGCATGGATATAGAACAGCGCAGGAGATATTTAAGTTTGATCTTACTTTACAATATGTTACAATGGGGCTCAGAGTTCAAATGGTTCAAGTCTGTTTGCTGGCTTAGGAAGGAAAATGAGAATGGAGAAAAAGTCATGGTTACTGGATGCACCAAGGTTCTTTCAGATATTTGGCAGAATGAGGCACATCCAAAAAAAGTGCAACACCAGTGCCTGGATGGCAGTGCTGTGTGTTTGAGTGCGTGCACACACTTCCTCTTCATGCATTGTAGCAAGCGTTTTTTTCACATTTTCTTTGAAAACTATTAACCAGTAATTTATAGTAAGATGAATGCATATTCTAGTTACTGGTGCATGAAATACTGAGAAATGCATTCAAGTAATATTTCTGCACTTACTGTATTATGAATGTCATCACTACATTATCTTACATTTGAAAAAAAATACTATGTACACCAGACCAGTGGTACTATTATGTTTGTAAGTTTCTGTGCTTTATGTAGGTACCTGGGTAAGATTGGAACAACAGGCTGTAGGTCCACTCTGACCTACCAGGTCATTAACACTGTATGCATTAGGAGAGCAGTACTTCCAGCCTCAGCACCACCACCTACAGCATGCGAGAAAGGATCCTTATTTTGTACAATCAAGCTGTACAAAGCAAATTAAAAATGAAATGAGGGAACGAAACAAAACACAATTGAAAACAAAAACAATGGGAAAAAAAGGGCAATTTTGGGGGGATAGGAGAAAACACTTTGTTTTGCTTTTGTTTCTATTCTTCACGCAGCTGCAGGCGGTAGCGGTGGTAGCGAAGCTGGAAAAACATTCTCTCTAGTATGGAATGTGTCATCCCAGGGAGGGTGTAGTGTTCAATGATGCCCACATGTTTGAACCCTAAGGATTCATACAGCTTGTGGGCTGCCACCTTGACAGCCGTGGTTCCCAGTATAATGGAGGAATAGTTGTTGAGCATGGCAAACTCCAGCACTTTGCGGCCCAGGGCCTTGGCAATCCCTTTACCCCGGAAGTTGGAATCTACGGACATGCGGCGCAGCTCCATGGTGTTGTCTTCCTCATTGCCTCTCGCAGCCACGATTCCCACCACATTTCCGTCCAACACAGCTACCCAGAAGCAGGAGCCTAGAGAAGACAAAGCAGAGTCTGAAGCTGAAGAATGCAACTGCCCTTCTGCATAAGCCTACCTGGGCTTAATACATCACCTTATGCCGACAGAGCCAGATTACAAAAGTACTGAAATCAATGCGAGTTGGGCACCCAACCTACTTAAGTGCTATTGAAAATCCTACTGGGCACCTATCTGCATATTTAGGTGCTTAAATAGCTTTCTGCATCTGGCCCAAAATTGCTTTCTTAAGACTGATAAGAGATTGTTATTGCCCAAGAGGGAGATCTCCTCCAATTTGAAATATCAGACTTCCTGTTTGAGACCAAAATTGTAAAGGACATTAGACAATACACCTGTGTAAGGTGACCAAGGGAATTTGTCCTCAACCTGCTCCAAGATTTAATTCTCAAGTGAAAGCCTGAAAAGGTGTCAAACTCAGGGTCTCACTTTTCCTAAATCATATGGGAATGGTGAAGTGGAACCATCCCATATGCCACCCTACCCTATTAGAAGGTTATCTGGTATAAAGGTGTTGCACTTATTCCAATAAAGCACACAAAGGGAATTTATTAACTCTCCCTAACCCATCAACATTACATATCTTTGGTTTCTTGGAACGGCCTTAGTTAGAGGGTGCTCTGTGTCAAAAGCAGCTGCAAAATGAGCTTCTTTATTGTAGGTTTTATTGCAAAATTCCTTATTTGATATACCAGCATTGTCAAAGGACTAGTTCCATGGGACATGTGAATAGCCTGTGTACAGTATAAATTAGGATAAAGTGAGTAGCCCTGCAGCCAGCCGCCTTCAGCTATGGTCTCAAAGCTAAGTAGGACTAAGTGCACGGAGTACTTGGACAAGAGATCAACAAGAAAAACCCAGTAGCTGGAGGAAGTTATGTTAATGATTTAGTAGGCAGCATTCTTCCTCTCTGAGTCAATAATGAACCAGAGCCCGTCACAGTGTTAAGGAGTTACTGGGGATATTGTTGCCTTTCAGGTGAAACGTAAAACCAGTCATGTCATTTAGTGTCCTACAGTGCTTTCCTCCCAGAGTATGGGATGTTGATCCTAAGCGGATGTCAGAATTCCCATTGAGTACTTGCAGTCTGTCTACTTAAAACTTCCATGGCATTGTCAACTGGAAAAAAAAACAACCTACCTTTCCATAACTGTTCTTCGAGATGTGTTGCTCATGTCCATTCCATTCTAGGTGTGTGCGCGCCCACGTGCACAGTTGGAGATTTTTGCCCTAGCGGTATCTGTAGGGTTGGCTGTGGCACCCCCTTGAGTGCTGCGCTCATGCGCTGGTATATTAGGCGCCAACAACTCTATGTCCTCTCAGTTCCTTCTTGCCAGCAACTCTGACAGCGGGATAGGAGAGGGGGTAATGGAATGGACATGAGCAATGCATCTCGAAGGACAACAGCTAAGAAAAGGTAGGTAACCGCTTTTTCTTAGAGTGCTTGGTCATGTTGATTCCATTCTAGGTGACCCACAAACAGTATACTTGGAGGTGGGCTTGGAGTTCAGTCTAGGGCTTGCAGCACTACTCTACTGAAGCCAACTTTGTCCCGGGCCTGGTGGGTAAGTGCGTAATGGGACATAAACGTGTGGATGGACGACCAGATGGCCTCCCTATAGATGTCCTGGATAGGTACCTGGACTAGAAAGCTGCTGAAGAGGTTTGCGCCCTGGTTGAATGGGCGGTGACAATCGCCGGAAGGGACACCTTTGCCTGATCGTAGCAGCAGCGAATGCAGGCAGTGATCCAAGAAGAAATTCTTTGAGTGGACACCGGATGACCTTTCATCCTGCCGGCCACCGCAACGAACAATTGTGTTGACTTGCGGAATGGCTTGGACCTTTCAATGTAGAACATTAGTGCCCTCCGGATGTCTAGGGAATGCAATCTATGCTCTGCCTCCGACTTATGCGGCTTTGGAAAAAAGACAGGTTAAGTAAACGTCCTGGCCCATATGAAACTGTGAGACCACCTTGGGCAGGAAAGCTGGGTGCAGCCGCAGCTGGACGTTGTTTTTGTAAAAGACCATATAGGGCGGTTCTGAGGTGAGCACCCTAATCTCAGAGAGACCCAGCAGATGCATGTTATTGCAACCAGGAAAGGAGAAGGAGAAAAGCAGGAAGTCAGAGGTTCAAAGGGGGGGGGGGGGGGAGGAGTGTCCCATGAGCTGTGACAGCACAAGATTCAGGTCCCATGGAGCAATGTGGTCCCTGACGTGCGGGTAATGGCACTCAAGGCCCTTTGAGGAACCTGGCAGTCATATCCTGAGCGAAAACCGACCTACCCTCAAGCAGCAGATGGAAGGCTGAGATGGCGGCCAAGTGAACCTTGATAGATGAAAGGGATAGGCCTTGGAGCTTGAGATGCAGAAGGTAGTCCAGGATTAATTGCAGTGCAGCTTGCTCGGGCTGAATGCCTTTATCTGAAATCCAACAAGCGAACCGCTTCCATTTAGCCAGGTAGGTCGTCCTGGTGGAGGAGCTGCGAAGGGAACTCCCTCCAAAACAGAAGCAGGATTCTGCCACCACGTGAGTGATGACAGTACATGGTCCAGGACCCTGACCACACAGCCCATGCTGTGTCTGTTGGGGATGTAGACCAATGCCAGCCATGCCTGCATGGGCCTGAGGCAGAGCCGCGTGTGCCAGACCACATAAGCGCAGGCCACCATGTGGCCTAACAATTGCAGACACGTGTGAGTGGTGGGCTTGCATGCATAAGATCAGGTCTGCCATCGCTTGGAACCGAGCCTCGGGGAGGAAGGCTCTGGCCTGAGGCGAGGCGAGGACCCCTCCAATGAACTCTACGCGTTGCACTGGAATTAAAGTTGACTTTTTCTCATTTATTAACAGCCCCAGATCGCAACAGGTGGAGCAAACCAAGTCGAGATGATGCCGCACCTCATCCCAGGAAAGGCCCTTTATTAACCAGTTATCGAGGTACGGATAAATTTGCATCCCTCAGCACCTCAGGTAAGTGGCCACTGGTGCTATGCGCTTCGTAAACACTATCAGTGCTGACGAGAGACTGAAGGGCAGCGCCATGAATTGAAAATGGCGGTTGCCCAACACAAAAATGGAGAAAACGTCTGTGCTCCAGGAAAATGGAAATATGCGTCCTTTAACTCGAGGGCAGTGTACCAGTCTCCCGGATCCAGGGAGAGAATAATGGAGGCCAGAGAGACCATACGAAACTTCAACTTCTTGACAGACTTGCTGAGGCGGCACAGGTCCAGAATGGGTCGGAGACCCCTTTTGCTTTGGGGATAAGGAAATAGTGGGAGTAGAACCCTTTCCCTTTCAAGTCTGGAGGGACCTCCTCTACTGCCCCCAAGCGTAGGAGGTTCTCGACCTCTTGAACGAGTAGCTGCTCGTGAGAAGGGTCCCTGAAGAGGGACAGGGAAGGGGGGTTGGAGGGAGGGTCAACCATGAACTGCAGGGTGTAACCCGAAGATATTATGTTGAGGACCCAACGGTCTGAGGTCAGCTGCGACCAGGCCGATTGGAAGGGGCGCAGGCGGTTGAGGAAAGAGCAGGGAGGTGGATCCTGGGAAGTGACTGGGGTGCCATCCTTGGGCGCATCCTCAAAATGCCTGCTTCTGGCTTCCTTGGCCTCTGGAAGAACCAGGCTGGGCAGAGGAACGGGAAGAGAAAGGGTGATGACGTTTAAATCCTTTGTCTCTGTCCTTCTTTCTGTAGGAGCTGGACCGAGGAACACCTCATGACCTTGACGGAGGTGGAGGGGGACGGAATGGCTTTCTAGCCTGCTGAGGGGTGTGTAGGCCTGAGGAACGGAGGGTGGCATGGGAGTCTTTAAGGCCATGGAGCCGTGCATCAGTCAGCTCCAAAAAGAGCCCTGCTCCCTCTAACGAGAGGTCCTAAAGGATAGTCTGTATCTCCTGGGACAACCCAGAGGACTGTAACCAGGAGCTGCGTGTCATGACCACCGCAAAGGCGATTACCCTGGCCGCTGAGTCCATAGTGTCCTACACCATCTGGAGGGCACCCCTCACCACCGCTTTTGCCATCTTCCACCAAGGCGGCAAACTCCTGGACTCGGTCCTCTGGGAGGCCCTCCTTGAACTTGCTGATGGAGTCCAACAGGTTGAGGTGGTACGTGCCTAATAGGGCCTGATGGTTAGACACCCAAAATTGCAGGATGGCTGTTGAATAAATTTTCCTGCCAAATAAGTCCAGCCTCTTGGCATCTTTATTTTTTGGTGTGCCACTCGCCTGTCCCTGCCTGTACCTTTTGTTGATGGCAGACATGACCACGGACCCCTCTGGAGGGTGGGTGTACAGGTACTCAAATCCCTTTGCTGGGACATAGTACTTCTTTTCTGCCTTCTTGGAAGTAGGCAGAATGGAATAGAGGGTTTGCCACACACACTTAGCAATTTTTAGGACCTCTGGGTGGACGGGTAACGTAACCCAGGCCAAGGTGGAGGAGGGTATGACATTAAAGAGGTTGGACTCCTCCAAGCTCTTTGACCTCCGAGTTTAGGTTAGCAGCCACCCTTTTGAGGGGGGCTTGGTGATCCTTGAAGTCATCGGGGGGGCTGCTTGTTTGCGAGGGGCCTGCCACTGCTTCATCTGGAGACGACAAAGACAATTGCACCGCAGGGGGACGGGCAGCTTTCCATTGCTCGTCTGGGGACGGCTCCTTGGGCAGCGGGGCCCGCTGTGTCACCCCTGCATCGGCTTCAGCACCGTGCTCAGACTCCAGTGCCGGCTGTGCCAAGGGCAGCTTGTCCGAAGCGGTCTGGGAGGAACGGTGGGAGTATGGGAACGGTATAAAAAGGTACACGCCACGGGTTCCAGTACTGCCACTGAGTGGGCCACTGCCCCTGCCACCACCACAGGAGCCAAGCCAGTCTCGCGCCCCGGTAGTGATTCGCCTTTTTTGGTGAGGGGCTGAACTGTCCTTTAGACTTGGACCATTGCCCTTCCAGTGATCAGGGCGGAGCTGCAGATGCCTGGGTCTGACCCTCGAC